ATATGACATCTATGTCCCAAGTTTTATTGACATGTTATGATTAGTACTTGAGATATTAGTGGAAAAGCCGAAAATTGATTAATCATTATGTAAATTAGGTAATTAATAATATTAACAGATTTTTACCCAAAAATAATCAAATCTGCGCATTAGTTCAAAGCATCCATGTGCCAAGTTTCATTGAAATCCAATGAGTTGTTCTTAAAAAATCAGTGAAACGGTCATAGAACAGCTTAAAATTAGTTAATTATCATGCAAATTAGGTAATTAATATTCATAGATTTTTAGCCAAAACTAGTCAAATCTGCGTATTGGTTCAGAGCATCCATGTGCCAAGTTTCATCAAAGTCCAATGAGTGGTTTTTCAAATATCAGTGGAACAGTCATGGAACAGCTAAAAATCAGCTAATTACCATGCAAATTAGGTAATTAATATTCATAGATTTTTACCAAAACCCAATCAACTCTGCGCATCATCCCAGAGCATCTATGTACCAAGTTTCACGAAAATTTGATTAGTGGTTCTTGAGATAACGGTGGAACAAAAAAAGTGACATACATACATACATACATACATACATACATACATACATACATACATACATACATACATACAGACAGGGTAACTGCAAAGACTCCCTTTTGTGCTTCGCACACGGGAGTCAAAAATGGCTAGTTACCAGTTTTTTGGAAAAACCATATCCTTTATTCGCTGGAATAAATTCAAACAGATCATACTTCGACATCGATATTTCACTACACATTGTGTTACTAAAAAGTCTTTGGGAATTTCCAAAGAATTGCGTCGGTACAACACAGCATTCTGATTGGTTAATAACAGACTTGACCCATTAGGTCAATGGATGGTGTTGCAGGTCAAATCATGCAAATGCATCATGGTGGAGATTTGGCGTACGATCCAACACATTCGTCAGTGGAGATAATGATGAGAATTTTGACTTCGACTGTGTTCTAACAGGCTCTAATATTTTTAATTTTGTAAAGTCTGGTGGTGCGCAATTAACATTGTAATAAAATGTGCATATTTTTTGTGATCATTTCTGTCTCTCACATGATGTATCAAAAGTTTCATTGGCACTCTTTTCCGAGGGCGGTGCTCAGATAAGCGCCCACCCCTAAAAAATTGTGATTTTCTGAGTCGAGGCCCCAGGCCTGTAACACAGTCGAGTACGGTAATATGCAAGCTTAGTTTCATCACATTATATTGCATGGCAGTAATTCACATAACACCATATTGTACTACACGACACTACTTTACTTAACGTTATACTATATTATATTATATTACACATTATAATATGATCAGTGTGAATCTAGCCATCTGATTGGCTGAAGCCGGGTTTATATCTGGCAATATATGACTTGGGCCCTGTTGAATAATTAATAAAACAAAAACTGGAATAAACTGGATTGCAATATGATAAATATTGTTGTCTGCAAGTCACTAGCGTCGTTTTCAGAACATAGTAATTATGTCAGGGCAAAGATTCCCAGAATTTTCTGAAGAAATGGTAAAACTTGGCAGCAAAAAAAATGAAGTGAATAATAACGCCTTTACAAAATGGGGTGTGAAATTACTCAAATGTAAGTGTGATAAAAGTCAAAATTGAAAAAAATAACAGATCGTAACTATAGTTCGTACCGGTGAACACCTCCATTTTCGTTGTTTTTAAACAATGCGTTGAACGTTTGACCCCATGATGACCCAATTTCCGTACTAAAATTATGTTTTTTTTGTATAGTGTGGTATTCTGAACGGAAAATCGATACCAGCCTTCGAAATGGTGGAAGTACAAAAGCTGGCAAATGTATTGAAGCATTTTTATGCCGAGGTCAGGGCTAGAGACGGGAAAGAATACAGCATAAGAAGCTACGCTGGGATTTGAGCAGCAATCCATCGCCACATAACCAATGTTCCATTCAATCGCCCCATTAACATTATCAAAGATCGGGAATTCCAAACTACCAATAATGTATTTATAGGGAGAGTAAAAAGTTTGAAGCGGGAGGGGAAAGATAAAATCCAACACAAAACGGTTATCAGTGCGGGAGACATGAGTAAGATGTTTACCAGCGGGACACTGTCCAACCGTGACCCGGTGTCCCTTTTACGTTTGGTGTGGTTTTATGTAGAGTTTTTCTTTTGCCGAAGGGGGCAGGAGGGTCTTTGAGATTTACACAAAGAGATTTTTGTTTTTAAGAAAGATGACAGGGGGCGAATTATATCACTTTGCCTATATTTATACATAAATTATACAAGTAAACTTCACCCAAGCTATAATGCTTTTTTCCAGCGGCCTATTAGTAACTTTACAGGTAGGGAAACAACTTGATATACAAACGCTCCTTTGGGTCACAATACTTTGGGGGAAATGATGAAAAAAATATCAGCGGCCGCAGAGTTGAGCATGCTGTACACTAACCACTGTGTGAGAGCAACCACTATAAAATCATAGAACGACGCTGGAATACCAACACGGATAATCATGAATTTAAGTGGCCATCGGAATATCAGTATCAGGAGTTACTGTCCCGACAGTTCTAGCGAACAAAAACGTCAAAAATATCTCCACAAGTGAAACGGTATGCTCAAGCTCAGTCGCCACAGAAAACCTGTTCAAAAACTGCAATTTCGGAAGCTCTGTATATGTGTATACTAGCAATTATATTTCTCCAAAACTAAACTAAAATCCTCAAAAATGACAACTTGAAAAAATTCAAATTTACCACTCTTAATATTTGTTAATGTATTAATTAATCCACAATATTTATAATGTCGCTTCTGTTTTATATTTGTATAAACATTTTCTATTTATTGACGATGCATTTTAAGTAGTGAACTTGAACATTTGCAATTTTATAATAATCTATTTTATCATTTTATCTTGGAATTACATGCCTGTGCGAATTTCTATTGAAAGAGTGTATGACGAGGCCCCAGAACGTGGTTATTCATCCCTCCCCGCACTTTGTTTCGGAAAAATGCTGTATTTCCATTAAATATTCAACGTTGTCATATTATAATGAGGTTATAAACGGTACGCTCGGGAATTTGCATATTTAAAATTAGCATATTTAAGTTAAATAATCGCATCGCTACGCTCGGTGATTATTTTACGCCAAATATGCTAATTTTCCCCTGAGAGGTCTTATATCCGCTATCAAATACTCTCGCATACAGTTTATAACCTCTAAATATTTCATTTTAATTCACTATACTTCCATTACCCTACATTATTACACTAAACCACACAACATATTACATTACATTAGAATATACACCATTACATTATAGCACATCACCAAACACAACAATGCATTAGAATATACACCACACTGTTAATACACCACACATGTAAATTACACCACAGAACATTACACATTATTCTATCATTCCCAAAAATATGATTAATCTGTTAACTTGGATTCCAACAGTCATACAAATTACTAAAGTACATAATGAATTCCTACCTCCTCCACCGTTTTCAAACATCATATAACCAAATGGCATTTTACTACCCCATGGTGTAGAGGAGGGTTTGGGTTCCACTTCCTTGATGTAAGCGGAGAAAACCCTATAAACAAAATGAACACATGATATTAACATACTGTCTGGTGAAAGTCTTCATGGATAGCGAATGTGAATGGTATAACCTGGTGTCAGCAGGCAATGATTTAAACCAAAATCATGCGCGATAAAATCATACACATGAACAAAACAATTCTCAGACCACATCATACAGTGGTTGTTGTGTCATGGTCGATATGGGTCCAATGCAACGAGAACAACACGAGTAAAATACATGGTTTGTGTGCTTAAAATTTAAAAGCAGATTGGGAAATTTACGTGGCTCTTTAAATCTAAGTCACATATTACCTTGCTTTGAAATCAGTGGAGCCACAGGCAAGCAGAATGTTGTTAGGATGCCAGTCCAGACAAGTCACGGTAGATCGAATCGGTTTCTTAATATGCTTACTAACCCACCTGAAATTAAAATAACAAAAGATGAGGCATCCTTAAACACATCACAACAATTGAATCATTTTGTTCTGCCTTGTTACATGTATATTGTGTTCTAAATTAGATATGACAATCTCCTGCCTTGAAGTAAACAAAATGTTTATATTATTCTTCTTGCTCACTTAATTATGCAAACTGAGTGTTCAATTTAAGCGTCCCCTAAGCGTCTGCACTCAGACAGTATGTGGTCGCATCAACCTCTGCTGTGTGTCGGACGATACTCCCGCTGTACTGTCTTTGTGCATACTTTGCAGTATCCTCATAATAACCTCATACTATCACAGGTTCCAGTCCATTCATATATATGTGTGTAGTACCGACTAAAGGCCATTGAGAGTCTAGGTTTAGTTATTGTGACTTAGTGCATGTATTTGCTTTATTCTGTATTTATTTATTCATTATGCGGGTCAACAGGCCAACCCGCATGCAGATCAGATCAGATCTGAAATGTCTAAGTCATCCCTTGGCTATCATCTATGTGCACTGAGAACGGGCACATCACACAGAACAGACAGACAGACACATTTACCTCCCCTTGACTGAATGAAATAATTTCATTTTCACTAGTTCTGTGAGTAGCTTATACAAAACATGTGTACTACTAATTCTGTACCTAGAATTAGGATAGACAACAATCACAAAACATAAATAGACAACATAGTCCAATCACATTCATCACTAATTCAGTCACCACACATAACCAGGTGTACCCTTTCAAACATAAGATGCTTGAAATTAAATAAATTAAAAAGACAGAAAAATAAATTAAAACTTTTAAATACAAATTAACATGTGAAACTGTTGCTGGAGAGAACGCTTCATATAACTGAAGATCAAAGTTCTATCTGCAGAAAAGAGGAAAGGCAAAACAATGGATGAAAAAGGTAGAGACATTTTGCATCTGTTACACAATGTATATGATAACTTACCAATCATTCTCCACCTCAAAATAGCAGACAGAGATAAGACGAGCCCCACTTGAAACAGCAAACTTGTTTTCTATAAGAAGATGTGAATCAATCAACATAAATGTCAGAGAAGTAATTTGTAATTAGTAACATGGCAATTTGTAGAAATGTTACAGCTAATGAGAGAAGAGCTTACAAACAAGTTAGTTATCTCTCTACTGATAGTGACAGCCAATGAGAGAAGAACTTACAATCAAGTGAAATATTTCTTACCTGTTGGTGACCATTTGACACAAGTAGCAGCGCGGTTGATACGTAGAATAACTAAGGTAGGTTTCCATTCATTGCCTTGTAGTACCCACACATACGCGTTACGATCCTGTCAGAAGTAGAGATAAAGTCAGATGCAAAAAAAACCCCGATTTTTCCAGATAGCATACGAGGAGAGGGGAGCGGGTAGATGGGAGAGGTGCGCAAACTTTTTGAGGGTAAAATTTAATAATGCTAAACTTTTTTTAAAAACTGAAAGAAATTTGAGATTTTACTACCTCTAAATAACTTTATGTTTAATGTAATCAACAAGCCATGCATGGCACAGTCAATGTTAGTTATTAAATTTAAGATATATAGTTTTGTTTATAGTATAAATATAGTTTGAACATCAACATGTCTGAGATATGGATCCAAAAGCTGATGTTTGATTATGGTGA